ATATGGGAGAAAGTGTAGATCACTAGTTCATTGGGATGAAGTCGGTGAGCGAAAGATTTTGGGGCTACAAATTATTGAGCAGACAGTGCATGCAATTGAAAAGATTCGCTCCAGCATGAAAAGTGCTCAGGATAGATAAAAGAGTTATGCTGATAGAAAGAGAAAGAGTCTGAAATTTTTAGTTGGTGATAAGGTATTCCTCAAAGTAGCAACGATGAAAGGAGTGCTACGTTTTGGCAAGAATGGTAAGTTGCAACCAAGGTTTATTAGCCCGTTTGAAATCTTGCAACGTATTGGGAATGTTGCATATCAATTAGGGTCACCTCCCGAACTTTCAGCTGTACATGACGTCTTCCACGTGTCAATACTTAGAAAGTACGTCCCCGATCCAGGCCATGTGGTCAACCATCAGTCTATTGAATTACAGAGAGGTTTAAGCTATGAAGAAGTACTAATAAGAATTGTTAATAAAAAATTTCAAGCCCTCCGGAACAAATTGATCCCACTAGTAAAAGTACAATGGCGAAATCACTCGACTGAAGAGGCTACGTGGGAGCTAGAGGTAGAGATGCGGGCAAAGTACCCACAACTCTTCGATGAATTTCAAGGTAAATTTCGATGACGAAATTTATTTTTAGGAGGGTAGATTATAATACCCGCATCCGAATTTCCATGTCTAATTATCAAAATTTAAAATTTAGGGGCTCATTTGAGAGTTAATCCACCTTCTAGGACCTTGTAGCAAACTTACCAAAAGTACTAATTCCCACATGTTTTTGATAAAATTCTTGGTCAAACATTTACATAGAAAATTCTTGATTTATGCTTAGTTGATTGACCAAACATAAGGTAAAATTCTTGATTTATGCTTGATTGACCAAACATAAGGTAATGTGTAGTGTGAATGCATAAATGAAGGAATGATTGAGAGATTCTTACTCATTTCATAAATTTCAAGGGACAAATTCCACCATCATGAAATTTTCCTTAAAGATGCATGCCTAATTTTCTCCTATTTAAACCCCTCATTCACATTCACATGCTACTACTCACTAGTATATTTTTTTTGTCCAAATAATATACACATACACATTCATAAGCCGAGGTGGAAATTTGTAGAGGGATTAAGTCTCTATTATTCTTTCATTCAAATTTCACTGTAAATACGCTGCCTATGTTGAATTATTGTTATGTTATGAATTTCAAGAAAATTATTATGGGTCCCATATGCTATGATATGATTATGATTATGTTAAGGGGACTGGAGTTTAGTAGTGCTACATATAAGAATTCTTACTACCTATGTTCGGTAAATTCTTATGTCTCCATTATGCTGATTATGATTATTATGCTCTTTTAAATTATACACAATAATAATTCATAGCGTGCTTATTGAGATTTTATAAATCTCACCCTATGATAATTCCCCCATTTCAGGCAACTGATGATTCGAGGCAGTCAACGTGGAGATGGCAATGATGCTAGGATTAATAAATTGTGTTGTGTTTAAAACACAACTTCGAATTTCAAATTTAATTGTTATGTTAAAATTATTTCATTTCTTTCATTTTTTGCAGCTACATGATAAAATCAAAATTTATTTACTCATTAAAGAAAAAATAAAAATTATTTCATGTTCTTATTTTAGTTCTTATGAAAGAATTAAATTTTATTTGGTGACTCTTGAATAGTCAAGGATTCGGGCCGTCACAGTAAGAACACAATATCAGGAATTTTTGGAGAAAGTTAACTAGTGATAGTTGGGGCGTGTTTGACAGATTGATTAAAGTAGATTCAAAAATTTATTTCTTAACCGAAAATGTTGAAACGTGTTTGGAGGAGTAAATAAAGCCATGGAATCATTGAATTTTATGTTTTTATTTTTACTACATAAAATGCAGTAATTTTGGTTTAAAAAATATATAGTAGTATAATATGAATATATATTAAAAATAAGGTATGTGGTGAAATTTCCACTTAAATATAATGGCCAAATAATCGTTATACGTCTTCGCAATAGACTTTTTGGATGAAAACATTCTTAGAGACAATATATGTTAATTAATTAAATGTTGAAGATATAAATGTAACGAGAAAAAAAGTTGACATAAATTTTACAATAAAAAGAGATTAAATACCTTAATTACAATTAGAATGTCAATAGATAAAAACTATGCCAATCATTTAATAATTACCCTTGTAGAGCACACATAGTGAAATAGGTTGTTTACTAATTTTTGAAAAGAGAAAGCATCTATGTAATAGTAAGCTTATGTTTGAGGATGAGTAAAATTAGATTTTTAATAATTTTTGATAAAAATTAATGAAATATGTGATTAAAAAGTTTGTAGATTCCATGAAAAAATATAACTAAAATTAATTATTGACATACCCTGACCTCAAAAAATGTTACCAATAGAATCCCCACCGTGTGGACGTCATTTGCCCACAGAATACCTCGTTAGGAGGCAAAGGTCGCCGATCGAGAAAAAGATTTGGCTACCGTTTGTACTCCAACGGTCAAGTCAACAGTCGGACAAAAAATATATAGAGTGCAAGAGTCGAGAGAGGGGATTTGGCTAAGGAATCAGTGCAGCCAGGAAAAGGGAGAAAATTTTGCACTAAGCATTTCCTTTACATAAAGTGTTTCTCAATAGAAGCGGCCAAAGGCTAATGTCAATTGATACCCAGTAGTGGTAGTCTACGGCGACTACGAACGGGGACTGATGTCACCATTGGTTGCTTGAGTTCCATGTATGCCAAGAACTTGCCAAAGTCTCTATAGAATGACGTCGAATGCTTCTAACATGATTGTTGAAAATTCTTCAATTGTTAATGTCTTTCTCCTTCCTTGGCTTCTCTTTCTTGTAATTATTTTGGACTTGAAAATTGTTTCATGGGGGAAATGGGTTTCTTGAATAGAGGCTCCATTTTTTTTTTTATTCATGTGGGAGGAGAGCTAGAGGTAACTGGTTTAAGGATAAAGCTATTGGAATTTTGGTTGTACCAGGAAGCCAAAGTCAATTTTTGATCCAACAAAGAGATTTTATTTTTGTTTCAAATGTGAAGTCTAAACCTTCTCTAGTGTGGATGGCCATTTTCTTTTTCTTCATAACCATTTTCATGGCTGGAATATTCCTCGAAATTTTCGTATCTTAGTCAGTAGCCATTTTCCCTCTTTTCTTGATTGCTATCTTCACTATTTCCAGTAGAAAAATACATGAAAAATCAACACTTTCTCATAGCTTTTGTGTGTGGTATAACATGGTTATTGTATTTCTTCCCACAGACGACGCCAATTTGTTGACCCTAAAAAACGTTGGCAACAGAAGTCCCGTCACATGGATGTCAACTGCACACGGAACACCCTGTTTGGAGATAAAGGCCGCCGGTCTTGAAAAATGTCCGACAATCAAATCAACGACCGGGCAAAATATATATAGAGTGCAAGAGTCGAGAGAGGGGGTCTGGCTAATGTTTCGAAATCAGACCTGGAAATGAAATGAATTCTCATATATATAGAAAATGGAGATGGGCCTAGTGGGTTTGGTGAGCTAATGGGCCTTGTCCAAGCCACGTCCAATAGAAAAACCCAATATGAAATGATTTATGGGTATTACAGTTAATGAAATACGTGATTAAAAAGTTGTAAGTTCCATGAAAAATATAATTAAGATTAATTATTGACATAATTTTTAATTTTAATTCCTACCAAACAGGACTAAGTAACGTTGCACTTTAGCCCTATTTGGAAGCCTAAAAAATTTTAAAATATAGTTTTGAATTTTTTGGAGAATGTGTGGTTGAAAATGATTAAAAAGTTATGAGTTTGTGTAGAATATTTTATTGTGTGAGTGTATAGTTGAAAATAATGACGAGAACATATATTTTGAGTTAGGGGGTACAATTAAACTTGGAAACAAGTTGTGAAAAATTAAAGCATTCAATATTTTATTACAATTGTTCTCTATGCTTTTTCATATTTTGATAATATTCCATAATTACATTTATCCTCTACAACTTTCAAATATGCTTTAATGTTCTTTTTCCTTAGACTTGTTTGTTTGCTTTCTCGACATTTGCTCCCACTTTCTCAATTTTTTTCCTCCATATGGTTGATTTCAATTGTCTTCTACTGCAGCCCGCCATTGATCTAATTTCATGTTCTACTCTTCCTCAAATAACCCTTTGAAATTGATAACAACCAATTGTTTGTCGAGAATCTTATGATCCACTATGTATATAGTCTTCGAATACATGGGCTTGTTTGATCGACATAGTGTCCGAAATTGTTTCAAAATCTCTATGATTTTTGGTATGTCTTGGGAATAATATTAACACCTTCTTCATTAACCACAATTTGTCCCTCTAAAATTAGGAAGTTCTGGCTGCACACATATTGTTCGATGTCATTTCTGACAATTTCTTCATCGAAGCTATGATGTTATTTCATAGAAAACAAATGCGCGCACTTACAAAAACACTTCCAGAGAAAAAATTTAGCTTTTCAACAAATTAGTTTTGATTTTCCATACTTTCTCTTACATCTACTTCGATCTTTATTCAATACTTGACCACGTCCCTATTTGACCCCTATTAAAATTTTAACTCTCTCTCTCTTTTGCAACCATATATTCTCCTATAAAATAATATTATACTTAAATAAAAAGCTTTTTATTCCTTTTCAGCTTTTAAAATCTAATTTTAATGGGGGCCAAACAAGGGCCAATTGAGTATGGAAAATTCATATATTACACAAAATTACAACATGGTTATATGCTTCATCAAAACAATGCAATCAAGTAAGAGTGAAGGAGGAGAATTAATAAAATATCATATCTCTATTTACAAAAAGTAAAAAAAATAAAAAAAATCGATTTCAGAAAATTGGTAGTCACGTTATCCTGTGACCCACCTTGGGTCAAGATTGAAAATGATAGTGCAGCAAAAATTTAAATTAAATTAAAAAAGTTGTCAATCAGGGGCTCAAGTGTAAGAAATTCATCAGCATAGCCAGTCCAGCTGAAAGCTCTATTTCCCTTACCTAACCACAAATAATGGCAATGAAGATTCCTCCCAGTAAACTTATTTTCTTATCTACAATGATAACTCTGTCGCACGTGGCAATCAAGACATCGCACGTGCAAGGCCATGCACGGATGCCCCCGTCAACTCTCAAGAGCTATAAATACAAAAGCAGAGCATTGGTCATAATGAATACCAACTCTACAACTACTCCGCAATTCTCAGTTGATCGGAAAATGGAAGATTCCATTGATGCAGCCAAGCTTCGCGATGAATTTCTCCAGGTTCTTCGCAGCCGTCGAACTGCAGAAGGTATATACACTTTGTGTGTGTTTTGGAGTATTTAATTGCTTGTAATTTTGCTTATCTGTTTACAATATATATATATATATATATATATAATTCGGTTTTGATTTAGACTTTTAATGGAGTTTTCCGCTGCTGCCTCGATTTGAATTTAAAAATTTTGATTGAATTCTGGTGTCTATTTTACCTTGGATGGCGGAATTGTATTTTCTCGCTTTTCAGGTTTTGAATTTTAAGTGTACAAAGGGGAAAAAAAAAAATGCTGGAATTAGGAAAATATTTGCCAATTGTAATGATTTTTGACTTTGTGTGTTCTATAGTGACTGGTGATAATGGAGGATGGGAATTGGGAGGGAGAAGAAGAAAAGAAATCTACAAAATAAAAATGTGATCCAAAATAAATCTCAATGGATTTTACACATTTTATGCATCTCCTTCTGAAATAAGAGCTCTATGACCATGCTCCTGACGCAAAAATCTACTCCTGCCTGCCTCAATTTCGAAGCAATAGCACCTCTAAATAGGTAAAAGATTATAAATGAATGGTTTCTAGTTGTGACATATATGATATTAGTGTAATTATCTGTTCCTGAAAAATATTATTAGGACTATTTTTCGTCGAAAATTAATTTGTAATCTTTCTGAGTAAAAAGCTTCTTCTAATTGTTGAACTGGGCAATGAGTATATTTAGTAAATTGAATGTGATTAAGATAATGTTCTAACAGGTGATGTTTAGGGGAACTTTGGTTTAGATTGATTGGAGGTTCCAACAGGAACGTACATAAGACTAAAAGAACCATCCGATATGTGTTCATGCTTTTGTATTTCCTGATAACAGCTTTCACATTTTTACTACACAGATTACATTTCTTTGATTGGTCATTTATTGATATGGAAACTATAAATATTAATTTTGGTAATTTTTTCCTCAATCTGTATGTGTTCGTAGATCTGAATGCAAATTGCATCTGCGTTTCTTCATTAACACGTGCAGATAAAATCATACGTTTCTTAATTGTTGTCAGTTCCTCTTTCTGTTGAACCTGCTCATCCAGTGCGAGATCCACTGTATCAGGAAACTCCAAAGCCAACCTTTAGCAAGGTTGGAAACTGCTTTGCAATTTCTTTCGTCAATAGTTGACTCTATTATCCTGATGCATTTTCTGGCACATACAGGCAATGGAGTCTGCTCCAAAGAAAAAAATTCCAAATTTTAAGAAACTTCTTCAAGAGGAGAATTTGTACCTGATTACCGAGGTATCTAGGATTTATATGTTTTCGTTTCTTCAATTCTTTTAACACATTGGTATATCTTGAAATAGGGAACTTGGACATGGCATAGAGGTAGTACTGGTCTCTGTTTCCCAGAATATAATTGTTACAAGAAAAGGCTCAAAATCGACTCAACAAATGACCGAAAACCCTCTGACCAAAGGCATCAAGATTTTCATCGATTCGGGCTCAGATCACGCATTGTACCCGTCTGTACAATGTGAAAACTCATAAACCACAGTCCCAACCTCAAACACAGAGCCAGTCGCTACAATGGACCCAAATCACTCAAACACGAACGGAAAACTCTCGACAAATCATAACCGAACAGTCACACAAACTGGAAGCACACACAGTGGCCAGAAAACCAAAGGTTTTGCGGCTTAATCACAAGATTCACGAAGAAGGAGAAGAGGCAGAAGACACAGAGTCACGAAGAGAGAAACCCAGAAGGTTTGAGAGAAAATATCACGAAGAGGCAGAGAAAATATGACTCGAATTAGGGCTAAAAGTCTCAGACCCCGTTTATATATTAATGGGTCATCACCGTAGATGTTAGGTTAAGTAGATCAAAGGGTCCAGAGCGACACACGTGGATTATTGGGTTTGGGCCGGGTTTCAGTTGCTTTCAACATCGAATTATTGGGCAATGAGTTGGGTAGTATCTGTTGGACCTTTTAATATCATCATTGCCCAAATGGGCTGGACACACAAATATTTATTTGGCATCACAGCCCAATAAATCTCCCCCTTGATGCCAATGATCCAAACTCACAAAGACAAAAGAAAGAAAAAAAAATATAACAAAAGACTTTTCAAGCAATTGGTATAATTCTTCCTAGATCATCAGCACCAAGCCAAATACACCTGCACAAACATAAAGTTTACCCAGTATCAATTCTTAAGAGTTACAAACATGATTTAAACTTATTTAGAGGAAGTACCTTAGTACCCATATCAACGGGATTAAACTGAGTAGGGATTTTCTCAAGCAACATAGATTCTTTTTCCACAATATCTCTAATAAAATGCATTCTTACATCTATGTGCTTAGTTCTTTCATAAAAAACTGGATTTTTACATAAATATATAGCACTTTGACTATAAAAGTACACAACAACAGGATCAACAGATTTATTTACCTCACTTAGAAGACCTTTAAGCCATAAGGCCTCTTTAATGGCCTCAGTTGCAGCCACATATTCTGCCTCAGTAGTTGATAAGGCTACAATTGATTGCAATTGAGACTTCCAACTTATACAAGTATCACACAAAGTAAACACATAAGCAGTAGTTGATTTCCTGTTATCTCTATCACCAGCATAGTTAGAATCTACGTATCCCTTTAAAATAACTCCTTTACTAGATCTAAAACATAAGCCAAAGTCAGCCGAGCCTTTCAAGTACCTTAATAACCATTTCATTGCATTCCAATGTTCAAAGCCAGGGTTGGACATAAATCTACTTAAGGTACTTATAGCATGTGCAACATCGGGTTGTGTGCATACCATGATGTACATTACAGATCCAACATTATTTGAATATGACACTTTTTTCATATATTTAATGTCAGATTCATCATGCGGAGACTGATCTTTACTCAACTTAAAATGACATGCAAGGGGTAATGTCATAGATTTAGAATCATGCTTAGCAAACTTGGATAAGACCTTTTTTTACATAATCAGTTTGTGACAACATTAATAACTGCTGGGACATATTCTTTTTAATGTCCATCCCTAAAATCCTTTTAGCATGCCCAAGGTCCTTCATTTCAAATTCAGCACTAAGCTCATTTTTAATCTCATTTATATCACTTATTTTCTGGCTAATTAACAACATATCATCCATATATAACAGCAAATAAACAGTTGCTGTTATCCTTTTTAAAATACAAGCAATTGTCAAATAAGCTTCTCATAAAGCCAACTGAAGACACAAAGTTATCAAAACGTTTATACCATTGCCTAGGGGATTGTTTTAGGCCATAAAGTGATCTTTTTAACAAGCATACATTAATCAAATTTTCTATTTTCAATAAAACCTTGTGGCTGTCTCATATATATGGTTTCATCAAGGTCTCCATGCAAAAACGCAGTTTTAACATCCATTTGCTCTAATTCATAATCATAATGTGCAACTAATGCAAGCATGACTCTAATGGTAGTATATTTCATAACAGGAGAAAAGATTTCATTATAATTAATACCAAGTTTTTAGTTAAACCCCTTAGCCACTAATCTGGCTTTAAACCTAAGGGGCTGATTAGGAGGATTGCATTCTTTAACAGTATAAACCTACTTACAGTCAACTACAGATTTATTTTCAGGTTTAAACACTAAGCTCCAGGTCTTATTTTTCACTAAGGACCTCATTTCTTCCTCCATAGCAAGTTGTCATTCCTTGGAAGACTGACAACTAATAGCCTCTTCATAGAATTTAGGCTCCTTAAAAGTTAAATCCTGATATGACAACATAGCAAGTGACAAATAGTCTTGCATCCTAATAGATTCTCTTATTTCTCTTCTAACCCTATCTCTGGTTAACTGATAATCACCTAAAGGGTTCACTAACTCACTAGCAGGTCCTTGAATTGTTTCATCACCTGATTTTTCCACAGTTTCATTTTCCTCTTGATTTTCAACTACAAGATCAGGTGAAGGTTCAAGTTCTATCTGCAGCCTAGTATTTTCCTCTTCCTGGCCCTTAGGCTCCTCACTAGAGGCCTTCCTATCTAAACAAGGCATCTCATTTTCATTGAAGGTCACATTCCTGCTGGTTATCATCTTAAAACCCCTAATTTCTCTCACCCAAAACCTGTACCCCTTCACTCCTTCAGGATATCCCATAAAAACACATTTCTGGGATCTAGGCTCAAGTTTTCCTACACTTTGGTGTGAATATGCTGCACAACCAAAGGTTTTTAAGTGTGTATAGTCAGCTAACCTAGCTGTCTACACTTCCTCAGGTGACCTACCATCTAATGCACTAGTTGGGGTCCTATTAATGATATAAACTGCTGTCATAACAGCCTCTTCCCACAACACTTTAGGGACACCTGAACTAAACATCATACATCTAACCTTGTTTAGGATTGTCCTATTCATCCTTTCAACTATACCATTCTATTGTGGAGTATATAGTACTGTTTTATGTCTTAGAATGCCATTATCCATACACAATTTTTCAAAATCAGTATTACAAAATTCTAATCCATTATTTATCCTTAGAATTTTAATCTTTTTATCCATTTGATTTTCAATCAAAGTTTTCCAACTTTTAAATTTTCCAAAGTGTCTGATTTTTGTTTCAAAAGAAATACCCATATTTTTCTTGAAAAATCATCAATTAATGATAAAAAATACTTATACCCACCTTGACAGGTGGTAGATGATGGACCCCACAAATCAGAATGTATATACTCTATGATAGATGTAGTCTTATGTTTTCCTGTACTAAAGTAAAGTCTATGTTGTTTGCCTAAGGTACAATATTCAAAAAGGGAATTTTAGAAATCACATCACTACCAAAGGCACCCTTCTTACTTAAGATTTGTAAACATTTCTCACTCACATGGGCTAACCTATTATGTCATTTCAATGTAGCATCACTCTCAGCCATAGAGGATTCTGCAGTGTGACTTAAAATATTAGCCTTAGTGACATAGATTCCATTTCTTTTAATACCCTTGAAAATAAAGATCCTTTAACTATTTTCAAGAAACCATCTCCAAATTTTTCTTGGAGACCTATGTCATCTAAGTTCCCAATTGAAATCAGATATCTATTTAAATCTGGTACATACCTCACCCTTTCTAAGGTATAGGTGTACCCATTATCAAATTTTAAAGTCACAATGCCTATCCCCAACACTTTACAGGCTGCATTATTGCCCATAACAACCTCACCTCCATCTAAGTCCTTAAAATCAAGTAACCAATGCTTTCTAGAGGTCATATGAAAGGTACAACCTGAATCTAAGATCCACTCTACACTCTGACTTGAATTATCTACATAATTTGTAGAGTTCAAATCAGAGAAAGACTCGGTCACAACATAGACATCAATAGTACCCTCACCCTCACCTAGAGGTTCAACAATATTCCCTTCATCAATTTTAACCTCTCTTTGCTCATTTTTCATTTTAAAACAATTTTTGATGTAATGCCCTGTTTTTCCACAACCATAACATTTTCTAGAACCATTTCTAGACTTTGATCTGTGTCTACCCTTTCCCTTCTTTCTAAAGGTATTATTTCCTTGATTACTTTGGTTACCCTGATTATTACTAAATCTGGTCAGTGATCTACCTCTTACAAATAGGTTCTCACTTTCCTTGCCATGTCTTTCACATATAACTTCCAAATCCTTGCTTCTTAAAGCATCAATCACTATCTCAGATGTTAAAGACTCTCTACCATACTTAATAACTGTCTTAACATCTTTATACACATCAAGTATGGAATTTAACAAAATTACAGCCTTATATTTTTCAGATACTTTATCCCCAACATTAGTTATATCTTGTACCAGTCTATTAAAAGTGTCAAGATTATCATCTAAGTCTCGAGACATATCAATTTTGAAGCTGAAATTTTTTTCCAACAGAAATAGTTTATTTGGTAATGATTTTATCAAATAAAGTTTCTCAAGTTTATCCCATAACGCTTTTGCATTATCCAATTTTCTAACCTTTTTTAATACTGGATCAGACAAGTGAAGAATAATGGAAGTATAGGCAAGATCATCAAATTCAGTCTTTTGTTCATCAGTCATAGTAGCAGGATATTCGCCAGTTATAGCTTTAGACATTTTTTGTTGAACAAGAACCCCCCTCATTTTTTTGCTGCCAAATGGGGAAATCCCACTTTCCATTAAAAACCCCAAGTTCAATCGTTCCCGTTGTCATTTGAAATTTTTAATCAATATAAGAAAAGCTTTTGAGGGTTAAAGTTCAACCAGAAGGAACAAGAAGATATTTCACAC